ACCTTAAGAACTACTTCTTAAATATTACTGAATTTATAAACAGTTGATCTGATATGGGACCTAGTAATAACAAACAGCTTTGAATGTGAAGCAACGGAATCATAGAAATGGGCTGAAGTAATCTAAACCATTTTCTTGCAGTGAAGTAGTACTAAGTCTAATTGGACCACTCTTACCAGATACTTATCTTACCTGATCTTCAAACTACATTATAGAAACAATTTCTCTATCTTCTTATGTCAAACTTGAGTCTTTCTCCTGGATTTTTGTTGTTTTATTGTTTGTTCTTCCCTAGATTCTCCAGTGTGCTTGCATTTTTCTTAGAGTAGGATGAAAACCTGACGTGACACTCTTGAGTGAAGCTAACTAGAGCTGTGTGATTCCTATAAAGATCTGTCCTACATGGAGGTCAATAGCAATGTTGTGGTGTTGGTCTGTTGAACCGTAGTTCGCAATAATCTCCTGACTGTTTCTATATTGAATTTGCTCGTTCAGTTTCTGTTTCCAAAGCAGGACCTTGGCTTGGTTTTAGTTTCATCTTTTTGCTGTGCAGCCTTTTCTGTATTCTTGTTTGCTCTCCTTCCTGTTGTGTAATGTAACCATGCCTCCTTTGATTTTCTTTCTATGATTTTATATATACCCTTTTCTTTTTGGCTTTTCTATCCCTTGCTAGTGGAAGCATCTGTATTTTTCCAGTATTTTAGTCTTTCTAATTTTATCTGTACATGCTATACTATTCCTTTATGTGCATTCTTCATATGGCCTTTACTTCCTTTCTTTTCTCCTGATTCTAGTTTTGATTTTCAGACTAATAAAGATCTGTCAGTACAACCAAAGTTTTACTGACTTTTCCTTAACATCAGGGAATTTTACTCCTGTTTCTTTTCTACTAAGTCAGACTCTTACAGTCCTTGGAAAGTTTTTCCAAGACACTTCCTAACAGTTCCTCAAATTTGCTGATATATGTCTTTCTGAAATCCTTATAATCATTCATTTCTTACAACGTGCTTTCCTGTGTATCACATCATATTTTTTATTGGAATGACTTTCCATTTTCAGATTTTTATGACCATTTCTTTTGTGTTAGGATCAAATGTAAAATAAAATAGGCTATGACATGTTTCCAGAGCTCCAGTTTTATCCAGAACGTGTTACTTTTCTAGCTGCTGCCTCCAGTAGTTAGTCTACCATTATCAAAAGGTCCTTGAATGCATCAGATGATGGTTGCTCAAAGAAGTGGCAGGCAGAGTGGACCTGAGTTCAGTGAGACATTCTCTGTAGGAGTTACTAAAATTCAGGACAGCTGAATCCTTAGATGATCACCTAGAACTCCTAGATTACTCCAAGTGCTTCTGCGACAGAGGAGACAAAACCTGTTATCTAAGTAAGAACTGAATAATCTCATTAAATTTTGAAGTTGGCATTGCTTTGAGCAGGGAGGTGCATTAGTTAACCCCAGAGTTCCATTTCGAATCTGAAGTTCCTTTGTGCATCTACCAGCCTTGTAGGGGAGTTGTATCCAGCGACAGTATAATTTACTTTTTGCGCTTTTGTAGCAACATTGGGCATTAGAACACCTGCCATTAGGTGAATGTACAGAAGATTTAGAGAGCCAGGACACTCATTGTCAAATTTAATACCATTGTCTTTTTTTTTTTTTTCTCTAACACAGCTAATATAGTGTTCATAAAGAACCCAGCTGTATATACATGTGTGTGTGTATATATATTATATATATATTTGGAAAAATTTGGCCAAAAGAAACAAATATTCCTGAGAGTGTTTTAGAAATTCGTAGTTTGATCTTTTCCAATTGATTCCAGTTTTGATTTTACGTGTCTCTTAATTGGTGCAGCACTGTATTTCTTGAGAACTAATGCACAGAAAAAAAAGAATTAACACTAAATTCACATTATCTTTTCATAACAAGTAATTGTGATCTAAAGATTGTGTGACTAAGGAATGGTTATATTTCATACAGTGTGGCAAAACCTATAGTGTATTTTTATTTTATTTATTTATTTCATATGAAGAATGCATACTTGTAAAATCAAATTGCTGTAAAAAATAAGCTTGCTTTTTTTTTTTTTTTCTCTTCAGTTCAATAAGACTGGGATTGTAATATGTGAATCAGACAAAGTACACAAAATAGTAGCTCTGAGTTTCTCCAAACCTGGGTTGCATGCTGTACAACAAATCATTCGGTGTCTTCCCTCTTCTTTGCGTGGCTCCACTGTGTATTTGTCCAGGAAACCATGTGCAACTTGTACCACATTCCTCATTCAAGGTATATAATACATTTTTCATCAATCAATCTCATTCAAGGTCTATAGTAAGTTTTTAATCAGTCTGTGTTAACTGCTGTTCTACCTGAATAACTTCATAAATTACCTCGTGTCTAGAAAAATGTTGTACGTGGCTCAGTCTAATAAATCCCTTTTTAGTCATGTAATCCTTTTTTGTGCAGGTAGCCTCTTAGAAATAAGTATAACTGCCTGCTTGAGCAAGGATTGGCAGACTGTGGGAGGTCATTTATGAAAGTGAAGCAGCAGTTGTTGCAATAGTTCTGTATTCAATTCAGATCCCATTGCAATGGGAGTGGTTTAAGGCTGTGGGTAACTATATAGGCTGTATATAGAATTGCAGCGCGACAGAAAATTGGCCCTCTGTTTCAAACAAACAACACATGAATTGAACGTCCCACCCAACTGCATGACTCTTTTAATGACTTTCGGTGTTTGTCTCTAGGTTCAGTTACTTCAGTCTATTACTGGCCAGTGGCTCCTGAAAAAAAGGGAGATGATTCGGTGGTTAAGGAAGATATTGAACAAGCTGACTGTATGTTTCTTAGAAGTCATACAAGTAGCAGCGTGCTCCTACCTGTAACAAGCTTTGAAACTGTGAGAAAGATTGCAAATAAAATACGATGCAAAGGATCGCTGGACAGCAATTTTAAGTTGCTCGATGATCAAACTGAAGACTTTCAAAAATATTGTTCCCTGTTTAACATAGATAGCTGCCAAGATCCATGTGTCAAACGGATGGAAAATGCTTTTCATTGCTATAATTTTTTACTGGAATGTTCCCAACTTGAGAAAAAAGGACCAGAGGAAACTGTTCATCAACATGCATTGCAGTTTTGTTATTTTTTAGCAGCAAGATCTGGTAAGTTACGATAAGAGTATATAAAGAATAGTAACCAAATATAAAGAATGGATTACTGTATATTTATTTTTTATAATTGCTGTTGATTCATTGAGCTAGTGCCAAAATCCCCAGGTCCTTTTCTACCAGGCAGCTCTCCAGCCGCTCTTCCCCAAGCCTGTAGCACAGCACAGGGTTGTTGTGACCTAGGTGGAAGACCCGGCACTTGGCCTTATTGAAACTTTATTCATTTTTGAATAATAATTCTTATTGAACCTTATTGTTGGTCTCAGCCCATCGATCCAGCCTGTCCAGATCCCTCCCTTCCCACCCTCAGGCAGACCAACACTTCTGCCCAACTTGGTGTCATCTGCGACCTTACTGAGAGTGCCTTCAGTCCTCTTGTCCAGTTTGTTGATAAAGATTTTAAAGAGAACCATCCCCAGTACTGAGCTCTGGGGAACACCACTTGTGACCCGATGCCAACTGGGTTTAACTCTATTCACCACCACTCTTTGGCCCTGGCCTTCCAGCCAGTTTTTCATCCAGCAAAGAGTGTGCCCATCCAAGCCAGAAGCAGCCAGTTTCTCCAGGAGAATGCCCTGGGAAATGGTGTCAAAGGCTTTACTAAAGTCTATGTATACTGTTATCGGAATTTTGTATCAAGTTAATACTCTGCAACTACTAATCAAAGGTACTAAGTGTGCCCTGAATCGGATTTGAGGTTGTGTTCTTCTTAAATCTGACATTTATTGTACTTGATAGTAGTTATGCCTCATTGTGTTATCGTGTATGGCTATCTGTCTAGAATTAGATAATGTATATACGTAGAGGGATTCTTTCAACATTTAAGCACTTATGCCTCCCATTTCCATATCATTAAAGCACTGGATGTTAATCTGTAAAATATATCTTTAAATATAAAAAAGTATGGGGTTAAGTGACATGAAAATCTTTCTGTCTTCTCAAAAATGATCCAAACCGAGGTGTGGGGTGTACACTCTACAGTCAGGATGGATATTTTGTAAGTACATTGAGTTCTCCAACACAAAAATTCTGTTCAGTGCTCCAAAAGGTTTGTTTGACCTAATGTAGACATCTGCATTATAGATGACTATGTCTGAGCTATCGGTCCTGGCTCCCCTTTATAGTCAGTGGAAATCTAGAGTGTCATTCATCCCAGTCCAGAACCTGGAGTAGGCCAGGTAGACCTGGTTTTCTGCCTTGAACGTAAAGGGAGACTGAGGTGACCAGGTATAGATGTGTAAAGAAGTTAAGGGAGATAAATTTCCCTTATGAACACATACTCTCATAATAAATATGCTAATATTAATGATAAAATTTTACCATTTAACTTCAAAAAAAATATTCCCTGAGACCCACTAAAAAGGTGGATCCTAAGTTTCTTGCAAAGATAGACAAGATGATGGTGATGAAATTGATGGAGAACAATGACCTCACTGGATGCAAAAGCAGAAGTAACTCTTGACTGTGTTAAAAGTGATAATGTGATGGGGTGGTAAGATGGTTGTGGCAAACTGGTAAAGATGATTAAAAATCTGATATGAATTGTTAGAAATAGGTAGAGAGCATATATTTAAATTTTAAAGCTATATTAGTGTATGGTTAAAATGTCACTGATATTTGAAAGAGTCTGTTAGATTTTGATTTTTTTATTTCATTTGTGTTTTTTGGCAGTTTGGGGCAGGTTATAATGGATACCCTCTTGGCATATTATATGCAAACTTGCCCTCTATTGGGAGGAAAAACCGAAGGACTCAAGTTGCAAAAGGGGAGGTTGTTCTCCACGCGGAAGCAAATGTTCTCCTGTACAGGTTATTGTTACAAATCTAGTAATGGTGTGACTTCTCAGGCATTCTTTATGATGATAGATATGAATAGTGTGGAGTGTAACTCAATGATTAACCATGGATTTTCTCTTTGACCTTTCCATCTGTTCTCCACCCATTAATGCAGCTCCTTAACATTTTACGAGTCTGAGCTTACAATCAACATGTTAACGTTTCCTCTCCTCTGCCCCTAGAAGGGTGTAGTACCACCTTGTATTCCTACTTGCCAAAATAGTCACACAATCTTGCTGTGACAAAGCTCTAAACGGTTTTTGAAGGACACAGTCTGCAGCATTCTGCCTGGCAGTCTTTTAGGCCAGCCAGATCCCTTGAGAGTTTGTATACACAGAAGTAGAGGAAGCAAATAAGATCAGATATTTGAAGGGAAAAACATTAACATCAAATAGGAAACTTGGAGGAGGAGAGCAATCTAATTAGAAATAGTAGTCTTCAATGAAAATACTGAATTTATTTTAAAGAAATTGAGAGATTATGTTTAGTTTTAGCTTTGCAGAAAAGGAATTAATTGTGTAAATACATATATTTTTCAGATCAAAGACAAAAATAGAAGAGAGTGATGTTCTTTACTGCACTAAACCTCCGTGTTCTGACTGTCAGAAACTTTTGAAGGAAGTGAAAATCAAGACAATTCATTGTGTAGAAGAATCATCCAAACAAAGTGACGAAGTATGCTTCTACAATATTATTTATTTATTGTCATAATGTAATTATATGTTTGAGGGCATGGGGGGTCATTTTATTTATAGTTAACTTACAGACAAACACATCATTCTTACCCTTCTCTATAGGAGAGGAACTATAGCAGATAATCACCTACAAGATGCTTTATTCTTCGTACTCGTATGTAACTGGAATTTTATGGCTTGCTTTCTGCCTTGGAAATCTTTACACTCAGATGCTTCTACAGTCAGGAAAGGAACAAGTTGCATATTTTAGAACCTGGCACTGGGAAAGTCCAGCCTCCTGTTTAGCTGTACGGCAGAGCTCTGGAGCGCTCCCTGATTTTGCATCTGAATGCTTAATTCTGGCTGTGCCTGAACTTTTGTGATGGTGAGGCCTGGATATGTGTCTTGGTTGCTCTATGGAGGAAGGCTGGGGATAGATGCTGAGGGGAGCTGTGACATGCTTCAATAAGACCTCCAATATGAAGGGGTAGCTCTGTCCTGCATTGCACACACTTAACTTTTAATCCCTCAGGGTAAATGCAACAGTCTTCTAAGGCTCACATTCTTGTATTTGAAGTGTCAGATGAGTTTGGCTTCGATGTTTACAGGTCTGTGTCAAACATGGTATTTTTGGCTCCGTCACAAGATATAGTCCTCCATTTAGTGGAAAGAATATTTTCTGAGTTTGCAAAGGAGTATTATTCCTTTCAGGGAAGTCCCTAAGTTACTTAACAGGATTTACTTTGGTGTAATTTAAATCAAATAATTTGTGTATGGCTCTGGAAAAATCTTTCTGAAGGAAAAGGTCTTAGTCTTGGTTCAGGCCCAAGTATCCAGTTAATGTCCACATTCAAGATTAAATACTAGCTCTATAAAGACAAAGATGGGCAAGGTATTCAAAGTCTTCTTTGCCTGGGTCTTTTCTGCCAAGATTTGCCCTCAGGAATCCCATGTCCCTGACACCAGTGGGAAGATCTGGAGCAATAGATTTACCCTCAGTAGAGCAGAATCTGATTATGGTATATTTGAAGAAGTTGGAAGTACACAAGACCGTGGGACCTGTCAAGAAGTTGTCTGGGAGTTGGCATGGACTTACAAAGAGGAAAACATTCCTCGCTAGCTTGACATCCTTTTATGATGAGATGATCAGCTTGGTGGATGAGTAGAGAGCAGTGGATGTTTTTCATTTTGACTTTAACAAGACTTGCACCGCTATCTCCCACAGCATCCTCATAGACAAACTGATGAAGTGTGGGCTAGATAAGTGGATGGTGAGGTGGATTGACAACTGCCTGAACTGCCAAACTCAGAGGGTTGTGATCAGCAGCACCAAGTCCAGCTGGAGGAGAGTCCCTAGTGGTATATCCGAGGTGGATAGTAGAACCAAAACTGTTAAATGTTGTCATTTATGTCCTGGATGATGAGTTAAAGTACCCTTTCATAAAGTATGTAGGTGGTGCAAAACTCAGAGGAGTGGTTGGTTCACCGGGGATTGATCCAGAGGGACCTTGACAGGTTAGAGAAATGGCAAAACAGGAATCTAATGAAGTTCAGCAAAGGGAAGTGCAAAACCCATGCAACTGGGCAGGAATAACCCCATGCCCTAATACTGGCTGGGGCTGACTGACTGGAAAGCAGCTTTGCAGAAAAGGACCTGGAGGACCTGGTGGGTGAGTTTACTAGGATGCAGCAATGTGCCCTTGAGGCAAAGGCCAGCTGCCTCCTGGACTGTGTTAGGCAGGGCATTGCCAGCAGCTTGAGAGAGGTGATCCTTCTGCTCAGCACTGGTGAGGCCATGGTTGGAACATTGTGTCCAGTTCTGGCCTTCCCAGTACAAAATAGAGCTGGACATATGGGAGTGAGTCCTGCTAAAGGCCGTGAAGATGATTATGCGATGGGGTCATTTCTCATATGAAGAGAGGCTGAGAGAGCTGGGACTGATCAGCCTGGAGAAGAGGAAGCTCAGGTGGGATCTTATTCATGTGTGTAAATACCTGATGAGAATGAGTAAAGAACACTGTGTTAGACTCTTCTCAGTGGTGCCCAGTGATGGGACAAGAGGCGATGGGCACAATTTGAAATACAGGAAATTCCACTAAAACATAACAAAAAGCTTTTTTTGCTGTGAGGGTGACAAGCACTGGAACATGTTGCCCAGAGAGGTTGTGGAGCCCCATCCTTGGAGATACTAAAAATCTGAGTGACCACAGCCCCAAGAGATCTGCTTCACATTGCCTTGAGTAGGGGGTCTGGACTGGAGACCTCCAGACATGGCTCCCAACCTCAGTGATTTTGCAAGTGCCTGGTTTATTTGTTTGCTTTTTAAGTTTCTTTTTTTTTTTTTTTTTTTAGAATCAGCTAGAAAACTTAAAGAAGAACTTTGACTATCATGAGGTAGGTTTGCATATTGAAGATTAGACTCAGATTTGTATTACTAAAAAGTATTTTTGAATATTTATTTAATAAAAACAAAAAATACGTTGTTTTGTATGTCATCCTTCTGGTTTGCCTTGTTTATTTGTTGGGTTTTTTGCTGTTGTTTTTAAGAAGCACATTTTCATTAGATGGAACGTTCATTAAAATGCATTGAGTGCTCATGAACCATTTGATGATACGTAAATATGTATTCACCTGAATATAGACATCAGAGCTTTTCAGTCATAATTTTGTACTCCATCAGTAGTTTTAGGAGTCAGTCATTCCCAGATGTCATAAAAAATAGTTCAGCTAGTAGAAAGCATGTCAGAAGTGGAAGCAGATAGGGCAGAAAAGCATTGCTTCATTTTTCAAGATCCATCAGATGTATCTGATGGAAGTAAAGCCATCTGAGTTGGGAAAAAAGGGAACTGGGACACGCAAGACTACTGACGAACTGCATAACTATGTAATTGACTTTTATCTTCCTCTATAGTACAAGAGCTTTAGAACTGAAATAGATAAGAATGTCTTAAGTCTTTGAGGACTCATGTTTGTTCAGTGGTCCAAGAAATCCTCATGGTAGATTGATTAGTATGTGTTAGATATAATGGCAGATTTGAACAGATAGATTGTTGAGAGTGCTAGATAAATGTTCACTTATGCTTTAAATAAATTTGTTGAGTTTTTCATTGGTTGTTGGCTTTTCTTCCAGTGGAAACAGTGCGACACTCAACTTACTGCAGGTATGATTAAGATTAAATCCCTTGTTCTTTGGTACTGTTCTGATTGGTTTCTTTTGTTATTGCTTGGTGTTTAAACTAGAAGCACAGTATGTTAGTAAATATTTTTCTTTAAAGCCCTTTTTGCAGCTTGTAATGAATACAACAAAATGTAGTTGTAAATTGCATAATCATTTTCCCCAATTTTTCACCTAGGACTGGAGAGCTAGATAATTATCCTTTCTATCTCATTGCCAATAATAATTTGCTAATTTCAGGACACTACCTACTTTTTTTTCTCCAAGACTGTTTTGATTAAATTTTCTTTCCATTGTTTCTTTCTAGGTCCTCCTTACATAAAGAAAGAAGACTTGTGCATCTTCTTAGCCCTACATATGGAAAACTTCCCAAGCAAATCACAGAAACCCGTGAGTTAAATCAACTCAAGCATATTAATTGTTATCAAGGTTAAAAAAGCCATAGTTTCCATTAGGATTTTGATTTATAAATTACTGAATTGGTGTTGTGGGTAAAACGATCTTAATTTTGGGGAATTTTTACTTCATTCAATTCATTACCAATAAATACAAACTTCTGTTTGCTGAAGTGGATATGGAGGAATAAAAGAGAACATAAGGAGTTAAACATCCTCCATCCATTTTTTCTAGGTTCAACTTAAGTCAAACACCTCCCCTCCCACCTCCCTACTCTCAACTTCCCTTGTTTTCACCCGTAGGTTACTCTCAGTCCGTCCCAATTCCTTCAGTGAGGTGATGGGTGGTGCAGGAGGTTGGGGCTCTGTGCGTGATGGTTTGCCTGCAGCTCCTCTGTGCTTTTTCCTAGTTTTCCTCTGCTTCTCTGTGCTTCCTACTGGCCCTGTCCTGGCATGAGTTATTTTCTAGGTGTGGTCCCTCAGGAGTGTCCCTGCCCCAGTGTGGGATTTTAATCTGTCGTATGCTTATACTCTAATAATTTTTGATAAATCAAAGCTGTTTGACTTTTTGAACCTACGTAGATGTCTGGTGGTTCCTACTGTGAGTATCCTCAGAATAATGTTAACATTTGTTTGAAACTACACCTCGTCACTCCTTTCTCCTGTTTCTGTAATCTGCTAGACCAGCTATTGGGATATCCATCTCCCTACTTTTTCCATAATTTTACAAACTTGCAGATTTTCCAAAGGTACCCCTTTCTGGACTCCAGTCAAAGCATTGTGCTTTTGATTTAGAATACGGCAAGTGAGTTATGTGCTGTAGACACACCAGAACTGGCTGAAAATCCACAGGAACCAGCACATTTCTAGACTGCTCGATCCCTACCCTTTTGCAACAAATGCCATTCTTTTTGTGTGAAATCCTTTGCTTGCTGTTACTCCATATAATCTGGACAAACTCATTCACTGAATGGTTATACATTCATTTGGTTATGTATACATTTATTTGTGTATGTGCAGGATCGCAAAACTGGAATTCTCGTCTGTGAAGCGAGCAAGCCAAAAAGGATTATTGCCCTGGGCTGCTCAACAGAGGAACTTCATGCTGTGCCAAAAGTGCTGTTAAGGTTTCCTAAGGCGCTGCAGGGCTGTGAAGTTTACATGTCTCGGATGCCTTGCAATTATTGTGCAACATTACTGGTTCAAGGTCAGCATCAGAACTGAAATATCTCCTTGACTAAGATTGCACATGTGGCATACTCATAGGCTGGTAAACTAGTCAGGCCAGTCATTTCTCTTCCTTGTAATTTTCTTCCAGTTTGCTCTCTGCATTTTTCCTCAGTTGGTTTTTTATTCTGATCAGTGTCAGAAGCTGGTATAGCTAAATATCTCATACAATAGGTAGCTGTGTTTATTAAAGATATTAAGATGTGATTCATAATGTCATTGTATGAATTACTGTTTTTGCTAACACATAGATCATAAAGAATGCAAGTCATTAAATGAAAAAAGAGCCAGCAGATCTTGTAGAGATGCTTGATAAATGAGAAAAAAAAAAAGAAAAAAGTAGTGTCCCAAGGAATGTGGAAATCCTGAAAAAATAATTCATAGATAATCAACCTGATAAAATAAATGAGAAGAAAGCAGCCATTTACGTCACTTATCAGATAAGGAATGTACCTCAGGTATTCATATTCAGGATAACAAAGTAGGTAGATTTTTTGCAGATAAGTCAATCTGTCGTACTTCACAAATGATAACACGCTACCTATGTGTTGAATTTTCTGGGTTTTTAGATGCCTAATTGATAACACATATTTTTCCTCTATAGTAACTCCAATACTTTGCTCTATCTCTTTAAAACAATCTCCTTGTTTCAGAAATTTTTGCCATTTCGTAAATAAAAGTAGAGACAAAAATTTAATCACCTGGGAAAAAAAAAAAGTCATTAATTGTATATAAAGTTTCCCTTTTGATTTTGAAGGTAATGTGTTAATTAAAAAGTATTTTGATATTATTTTACTAACATGGGGAAAAGCTGCAGCTTAATTCCATATCACTTTAGATCTATTAGTGGACAAAATGACCACTAGTGTATTTCATATTTATTAATCTTACATATATATTTTTTTTTTATTCAGCACAAGTCTCACAAGTCTATTACTGGCCAAATTTTGAAACTGAAATGGCAGAAAGTGAGAAAAGGGATGCTCTGGCAAAGTATGCTAATACCATCTTTAAAGAAAGTTATATTGTTGCAGCACCATATGTACCAACACTAGGCAATCAAAGAAAGATGAAAAAACCTAATTCCAACAAAAGAGCATCTTCTCATGATGATATAATCCCAGTTTCATCTATATTTGATGGGAAAATTGATGGGGAAATTTTAAAGTGTTTTAGCTTGGAGCACCTGAAAGGGGACCAACGGGAAAAATATAAAAGCAATCTTGATACAGCAAAGAAATGTTTTGAAACTCTGGCAAGTTGCAAAGATGAAGAAATAATAATCTTAGAAGAGGAGAAATCAACTGTGAAGAATAATCCTAAATACACCCATGCGTTACAGCTCTGTGATTTATTAGCATCCAGAAGCGGTAAGTAAATTAATGTTACTAAATTTAGCTCAGTCATTCACACAGTGTAGAAAAATCCCACATAATTGTTAGTCACATTCCTGGAGATGTAATATACTGAAAAAAAATCCTTAATTGATTTCATTGCATTCGGTTAGGTAATTGATGAAACTCTGCATATCTAGCTAACTTTAGTACTACGTTGGTATTTCTTGTGTTATAAATTTAATTCGTGTTGCATCATTGTCTTACAAAACATGCTCAGGTTATCTGAAGAAGGCTGGTAGTGCAAATTGGACAAAAATCTCCCTAAGATAAAACATAGTGTATCGTTGCTACCAAATGGAGGTTTATTTGATAAGTTAGGAGTTCCTCCAGCACAAGCCCAGGGCTGAGTAAGAGCCAAAGAAATACAGTTCAGAGGTGTTTAGTTGGGCTCTTTCTTTTCTAGCCAGACTGGAGGAAGAGGAGGAAAGTGCTTCTCCTGTCTTCCTCACCAGGTGGGGAGTTCTGAGGCTTAGGCTGACTGCAAGAGACTCTCGTTGGGGCCAGTTTCTCCATGGTATGAAATGGCAGGTGGTCAGTTCAGACATTGATTTTTGGTCGAGCTTTCCTATTTTTGCATTAAAGATTTGCAAAACTGAAGAAGCACTGCTACGATAGGTAAAAAGAAAACAAAACTGGATGTAATTATCTGTTACTTTCTCATGTTGTCCATTAGTCTGGCTGGTTGTGGTTGGTTACACTGAAGGTCTTAGGCTGGCTTTTGTTCAGTCCCACCTGTGTAGGTTGAGAATAGGGTTCACTCAGCAGTGTGGCTGGAGTTTCCCACTTTATCCTCAAACCCCATTACTGTTTCCCCGTGTTTCTCCTGCTGTTAGCTAAATGCAGTTGGCTCTTTTATGGAAGAGAAAGCATTGCAGAATTTGACTGATTTTAATCATGGTAATAGTTGGTTATAGGTGACAAAGTAGAGTCTTATGGCTCCAAGCCATATCCCAGGCAGTTGCTGTCAGCATCACGCCCACACCGGCTTCCCTGGGTCACTAAGAAGTGGAAAGTTTCTAGTTTCCCTTTCCCACAAAAGACAATTTTGAGGTGGTGTTTCCTCTTGCAGGGGAGGGAGGGAGGTTTCATTGCACGTGCCTGAGCCTCGAGGAAGGTCTAATAGAACTTGCTGTTCAAGCAGAGGAAGTAGTTTTGAACTGCAATGATAGAAAGCATTTTCAGCAGTGGGGAAAGTCAATGGTTTTTGGTACTTCTACAAAAGAGTCCCAGATAAGGCAATTGAGATTGACTATAGGGGACAGAGGGCTGTGAGGACGGGAGGTAAGTGCATCAATTAGCCTAACATCTGGTCGGGCTCTTGTCAACAGTTTACTTGTTTCAATATTTTCTGGAGGCAGGTGAGCAAGAACAGCCACTTTTGTTGCAGCAGGTGTGTTCTGCATCCTTCTTGACCAGCAGGCACGAGTAAGAACCTTTTGATAGCAGGATTGTTGTAATATCATAGTGTTGTATGAATTTATAACTCTGATATGTGCCTGTTTATCCTCAGACAATAATAATGGAGTGGGGACAGTGATTTACAAGGAAGACAACATTGTAAGTAAAGGTTCATGTGATCTAGGAAATTGTGTTCCTCTTGTAAAAATATCTAATCATGATCCATTGTCATATCAAAATAATTGTTGTAAGATTGCTATGTAGTAAGTTATCATGCAGGGAAATGTTTAAAAAAGCCTATTATTGCCATAAGAAAGGGATTTTAAATTTGCTAGGCTTGTGTTTGTGCATGTAAATGAGGAAGTTAACTTGTGTCTTATGGACTCTCAAAAAATAAGTTAGTGGATTTGCAAAAACAACGTTTTGTGGAAAAAAAGAAAAAGTTTGCATTACCTCTGTTCCAGATCCATAATTAGTCACAATTAGTCATTTTGAAATGGAGATCTGCCTAAACATTATCAAACAACATCACATGAGGACTCTCACTGAAGTTATTAACAGCTTTTAGGATTGAATTAGTCAGTAAGTAACTAAAGGTCCCAGAACAACATTACCTTTTGTTCCTTTCTATGTTGTTTCTTTCTAGGTTGCCCTGGGCTACAGTGGATATCCAAAAGGGGCAGTGAATAGTTTATTTTGCAAGAATAAAGATGATGATTTTGACAAGCATGCAATTGTATGTGCAGAAGCTAATGCAATTATTATGAGGTAGGAACTCACTAAATATCGTGAAGGAATTAGACAAAAAAAGTCTTGTGTAGGGTGCTTCATTAATGAATAAATAGTACTCTGACTAATCTACTGTGGGAATTTCCAAAGCGTAGAAAGGGGAAGTAATGTTATGTAGCATGAAAAGGAATTTAGTCTTATAAGGCACTGCGTACAATTATTTTTTACAGAGATCTAGGTCCATGAGATCTTGCATTCTAATATACCCAACAAACTTAGGTAAGAGAGTCTCAGAGGTTCCTGTTTGTCCTCTCTCTCTGATCTCATGTAAGCCCCGTTCCCATGAGCAGTCATGGGCAGAGGGTCTTCACACATGCTGGAGAAGGGAGTAGCCAGTAGCAGACCTATTGCTTCTGTGGGGTCTCTGGTGTTACTTAGCCATTGGAAATACAAGGCATCCCAGGTGGGTGGTCAACTCAGACTGCTGCCTTTGGCACACACAGGCTGAGTTTCATGAAGTTTCCTGCCTATGGAAAATTTCTCTGCAGACTGACAAAGCAAATGTCTGCGCTCCTGTCCCTGGCTGATGCTCCCTTTTCTGACAACGGGCTTAGTGGAGAGTGTGTTGACTGAGTGCTCTGCTGTCACCTGCTCCCCTATTCAGGTGATCATGGTTTGGTGCTGAAATGATTCCTGGATACACATTTCATAAACCACAGTACCTGTCTTTATGGTGCTGTGAGTACCCAAAAAGTAGGTAAATCTATATCCTGAGTAGTATCTCATAGTACATACTGCAAGTGTTTGCTTGTCTTAAGAACCTGTACTCATCTCCTTTGGGCAGTGAGGGAAGAGGGAAAAAGAGAAGAACCCACTCTAGGTTCTAAGAGAAAGAATTCCTCCTGCAAACACACCATGTCTGTAATTGTGACAGTCTTGTATTTTTTCAGTTCTGAGGAAGACCTGCGTGATGCTGAACTCATCACTACATGTGAACCCTGCCAGGACTGTCTGAAACTGATCCAAGCAAAGAATATAGCAAAAGTCATTTGGCCTGTGCGAGACAGAAATGTAGGTAACAGTTGGAGAAGGTTAAAAGCCGCGTGTCATAGTTCCAGACTTGCTGTTCCTTTGTCCCCTGTCTGAGGACATCTTTCTAAAACCTTGTACTTTCCCTTTGCTAAGGGGGAAATTGCACACTCTTTACCCTTTCAGGCTGGGCCCTCTCCTGCATCGCCAGTTTCCAGCTTGTTTGCACCACTGGGGGTAGGCTGAATGCTAAAGAAGGATACTTCTCATAGAGTCACAGATGGTAGAGATGTCTGCTCTCCCTCTGAAGAGGAAGGGGACAAAGATGAAAGAACATGCTTACATCCTTTGTCTCCTTCAGCAAGTGGGGAAGGTCCTGCCTACCAAGGCACATAGCCTTTAGATGGAGCTTGCTGGGCCCCATCCTGGCCCTCCTGCCTTCCAAAACAGGATCTGCTCTCCTGTCCACCTACACAGAGACAATGTTGACTATGGCAGTTCCTCTCCTTTTGTGAAGCCATGTAATCTTTCTGAACAGCTTGTGCTCCGCTAAAGGCATCTGTATGGCTCTCTAGAAGTCCAGGTCTACGTGCTTGCCTGTCTTAACAATCTAAATATACTCTTACCTTCGAGACAGTGGCAAGGACTTTATAAACGTTGCTAAAATCTTTGTCATTCTGTCTTAGGAGTAACATATAGAGATGATAATACAATGGGGAGAACAATAAGAGAAAATACTGCACAGAATGAGGAGAGTTTAGATTATTCACTATCCAAATAATACAAGAAGAGAATATCTAGTTGATGCACATCAGTGTCATGGTTTAACCCCAGCCAGCAACTAAGCACCACACAGCTGCTTGTTCACTCCCCTCAGGGTGAAAGTGAGGAAAAGCTCGTGGGTTGAGATGAAGATGGTTGAATAGGTAGAGCAGACGTCGTGCACACAAGCAAAGCAAACCAAGGAATTCATTAACCGCTTCCCATGGGCAGGCAGGTGTTCAGCCATCTACAGGAAAGCAGGGCTCCATCGTGCATAACAGTTACTTGGGAAGACAAACGCCATAGGTCCAAACATCCCCCTTTCCTTTTTTTTCCCCCAGCTTTATATGCTGAGCATGATGTCCTATGGCATGGAATATTCTTTTGGTCAGTTGGGGTCAGCTGTCCCGGCTGTGTCCCCTCCCAAATCTTTGTGCACTCCCAACCTCCTCGCTGTTAGGGTGGTGTAAGGAGCAGAAAAGGCCTTGACTGCTTTGAAACAACCAAAAGCATTAGTGTGCTACCAACACTATTCTCATCACAAATCCAAAACATAGGACTACACCAGATGCTAGCAAGAAAGTCAACTCCATCCCAGCTGAAACCATGACAATTAGAAATGAAAGAAAAAAAGCTAATCCTATTGTTAAAAGTAATGACTGTGGAAAGTTCTTACTTGCTATAGACTCAGGAAAATCCCTAGTTATAGTGGATGGTTAGATCCCTTTGTGCTAGTAGGGGTCACTGGCTTCACATCATCCTTTCTCTTTCTTCTCTTTGTTCATACTGTCTCTTCCTCAATTAACTTCATAAATTCACTCCAGTTTGGATCAGTACTCTAAACATAGGATGATTCATAGGCGATTACAAGTGTTTTGCTGATGTGTCACCAAATCTAAGCTAAGAAAAGCATTTTTTTGGCAAGTAAAGACATTTTAAAGTTAATTGCTTTTTAATTAAATTGAAGACATTTTTAATTTAATCACTTGAGACTGGCTAGATCAGAAGAGGATTGTACGTAAAATACCCAGCATGACATGTATGCCATTGCAAGGTAAGAAGCCTCTTATGTGTGTTGACTCAAGAATGGTGATGCCAAACAAGTACTGCAAGGCAGGCAGTGTCACAGCTGTTACTTTTCTGAATTCATTATTTCCTAAAGCTCCAAAATTCTCACTCATAACACAGAATGCAAGGTCATCCACAAGGCAGAAAACATGAGAAGTTCTCCACAAAGTGGCATTCAGTGTTAAAACATGGAAATGTATTGCATTCAAGAACTTTCTTTTCCAATAAGGAAGTGATATTCTGTTTCAAGCAGTCAAATAGAGTTGCTATACGAAATCGAAGTTTGAATTTTTTATATATCACCAGCTATAAGTTGTGTCAAAACTTTGCTACTACATTAACACAGCTGTGTTTAATAGATAGGGTGCATTGTGAGCCCTGCTGGTTTTCATCCTTGCGAAGAATTGTCTCAGTGGGTATGTGCATGCAGATCTCTGTAGAATTAAGACCGTACAGTTTTATTGATATGAGATACAGTTGGTGAAGTAGAGTTATTTTTTCCTTTATCAAAATACAGCTCACTAGCACAAATTATTTTTAGAGCTTGATTTTTAGAGGCTTTTTAGTATGATTAATGTGCTAGATGAATCAGTTTTTTTTTTAAAAAGCCTGCCAGATACTGTAAAAATAGAAATATGAAATCAGAATATTGTTTTTAAAAGTCATTAATACTGTTTAATGGTATATGTTACATGTTTATCACTCACTGCGTTGTTTTCTTACCAGCAATCCAGAGGATTAACTGAAGATCCTTCAGGTAATGATGCCCAAATAAGATAACAGCAAATACGAAAAGGACAAGTCATATTAATTTTTAGCTACAATTACAACTGGCTCTGAAATAAGACCATGTCAGAGGAGGAGTGGAGGAAACTCAACTGAGTGAGGTCACAACATGCTAAACATGAGACCAAGACATTTTAATTACGTAGGTGGTGGGGAATGGTCTGTAAGAACAGGGACAGCTCATATGAACTTGGAAATGGAATAGATACTATGATTGCATCGAATTGTTTCTCTGAAATCTCTGAGCTGCTGCATCTTGTTAGCATCCCTCCCTTCACAGTGATCTAGTTAATTGAGTTAGACAACTATTTTTTGCCAATTATTCCTTGTTCATGTCTCCTGTACTTCTGATTTCATTTCAGAGGGAGAGTCTGTGGCTTCAGCCGATGGTGAACAAGCATAAAGCTCCACAACATCAACATGAGCTTTAGGATCCAACGCCCCCAGGCTCCCCAGTACCTTCAGTGGTGTTGGGATAATCACCTTGCCATGGCAGTCACTCTGCTTGTGCCCACTCCCTTCCAGAAACACACCTCATACCCATCCCCCCACCAAATCTTTTCTTACCATTGCTTCTGCTGTGCTCTACAGGGGTTTGCTTCTGTCTGTGGCTTAAGGGTGGAAAAGCATTTGCTTTCGATGTACCTCTGAGGGGTAGTCATGTGTGACTGTGCAGTGTCTGTGGCCATGAAGGCAGTGGTTGTTTTCTGCAGTCCTCATTCCCTCTGCAGGGTTTCTTCTCTTGAACTGGGGTGTTTGAATGAGGATTTCTCCTTTTCCTTCATTGCAGTTTCCCACCCTCACTCAAATTTATTTTATTTCATTCAATCATCCTATTTTTCAATATAGCTGTATTATTTTTTTCTTGTCATCTTTTTCAGCTGAAAAGCAACTAGTTCCTTGTTTCCTTGTCTCTCTCTGCCCAGGGGTATTTGGTTCTTGTGTGTCTTTTACCCTCTCCCCTTTTTCTCTGGTGTAATGTATAGTTTAATTTTGTTTCATATTCATGGGCCTCTTTACATGTCCTCTAATAGGTTCATGGCTGTTTTTAATTGGTCTTTGTACCATATTGATCATGTTTTAGACTTAAATTTGATTTCCATCCTCGAAACACCAGACCAATTACTGTGGAATGTTTTCATATTTTTCCAGGATAAATCATTTTGCTCTAAATGAACCAGGGGTTTGCAGACTGTGGTGCTGACAGCTGCTTTTGTGCTTCTGTTTTGATTCCCTCAACTGTAGCTTCAATACTGGAGTTTTTTAGGATGACCCCAAACACAGAATCAGCTATGAAAATCCTCTTGATTTTTAAAATATCATTGTAATAATGCTATTTTTTGTGACTTGTTAGCTTTCAGTAACTATTCCTTTCACACAGCCACTTTAGAGTGAGATCATGACAGTATTTTGCATGGGATTAAATTGGAAGTTATGCCACTTTTAGAAAAATAAATTTGTTTGCACTTTTCAACGTGTGTCCTCTGGCTGTATTCCCTTTGGAGATGGTAAGGGCACACCATCACAAACCAAATGGCAAGGGCCTTGCTGTGATCATAGTTGATACCCATGTTGGACCTTTACAGAGCTAAATGCTAGATGTAAAAACAACACGATAGTATCCTAAGTCCAAAATCTCTCAATTTTCCTCTTACAATCATGCACAGGCTTAATTTCCAAATATGATAAAGTCTTGGGAAGAAGGTTGTGCATCTCCCATTTTAACTGCAACAACTTTCCCTGGGTCATGCAGAAACCTCTGAAGCCATCAGAAGTGTAATCCCCATTGTAACCGCATTCCAGTCTGACGTTTTAAGCACATTCCCATCACACCTGGCAGAGATGGAGCAAGAACTTGTGTAGAAATTTGCAAAGAATGCTAGACTGCTGAAAGGACTAATTTTCTTCCAGCCAATGTGGTTACACCGCATCTAACTCACTGCACAATGATAGAATTTACCTGTCAGAGACTGTGTTTGTACAGGTCAGATGCTGGTGTTTTTAATCACTGAATTAGGTTTGTTTTCATGTGTATGGATATAATGTAGAATTTTTAAAAAGTATCATGCTATGTTAATGACACTGAACTGTAAATGATCACACAATGTGTATACGTACATAGCATATTTTTCACCCTGAAGCTTACAGGTTGGTATCACTTGCTAACAAAATATTTGCTTGTGGCATTACTGAGAACATTTTCATGACTATTTCATCACCCTGCCATACTATAGCTGTCAAATTATTTTTTCTAAGAACCATCCACTTAAAAGAGTAAGATAAAGCCTTGGGTGATCTCTCTTGGGTGTATTATGGGATACCAGTAATGTAACAAGGGAAAGCAGGAAGTGTTCAGGACTTAATCCTATTAGAGGACAGGCTAAGCCTAAGCAGAAGAAATGTGGATACAGTTAGACAGAGATGATTAAGGTGCTTAGCCTTTTTATTATAAATCATCAGGCTTTGTGTGTGATCTTCCTATAAATCGTAAAGTAATTTATCTTAGCCTTGTAAGCAAATGATTTTTGCTGGCATTTTGCAAGCATTTGCACAACCCCCCCACAGAACTGATAGTAAAGGCTTAGCCTTCCTTGTGATAAATAGCACAGCCACAAAAGGATAATTATTTTCAAGACAATGTACTTGGATAAATAACATACATTAGAACAAGAACTAACAAGAGCTAATAATGAGAACAAGAATGTTGTTTTTTCCAACTGAGCTATTCAAGGATGAGTCTTTTATCCTGGTTGTCTGATTTTGGATTCTGGATGGTGCTGACACTGAAGGGGAAGAGGAAACTATTCTGCTTTCAGACTCTAAAAACGTATGTGAAAGCTGGGACTCCCTCTGCTTGCCAGTGCAGGTATATAAACATTTTGGTGGTTTGAAGGAAATGACTTGGAGAGTTGAGGGAACTGCTATGTGAAGTTAACTATAAATGATTAGCATGAAAGGCCTCTGTGGAGACTGGTGAGCTCCCACACAGTTTTCTGGTCAGTAACTGATGTGCTGGCAGCAGTAGGCACCCCTCCACCTATGTGTTCCTCCTTGTTCTTCACTGGCTCCATGGATCCTTTGCCGTTCCTTATTCTCAAGTAGATGTGGATATAATCAAATTCAGCCACTACAGTATCGTGGGACCTAATTCTCAGAAGAAGGTAACATTTCCTGTAAACCACAATTGTCTCTATATCAATTGAATTTCAAATCACAGAGGCCTTGGAAAGTATTACAAGACTTTCCTAGAAGGATTACTTAATTGGATTAATTGTTCGGTTCGTTACTAGTGGTGGCATTGCCTTTCCTGTCCCACCAGCACAGGTGCTGGGCTGAGTGAGGACCACACAACTGACACATCACAGCCAGGGTGGTTACTAAAGTTTTCACTTCATGCTTAAGTTTTCACCCGGTATTTTATTCATATTCTTGCAGGGAAGAGTCTCATTCCATTGCAAAGTATCATTATTAAATGTCACTAAATGAAAAATTCTGCCTTGATTTATGCCAGCATTTGTTACCTTCTTAGACAGTTCAAGAGATTCTGTATCTCCTCTCCTCCCAACCAAGTGCCTCTATACGTGTGCGAGCCACGAGGTGGCAATACAGGAGCTTGAGATGCTCAATTTCCCTGGTGTTTGTAGCGTTCCTGCCGGCTGGGCTCTGCGGTATTAGCTAAGTAAATGTATTTGCTGTGTTACTGCAGAGTTTGACCCTGTTTGCCAGCGTGTAATATGTTCTCCACATCTGCATAATTGACTTCCTGCAAAAGCCAAGGAAGATTAAGCTGATTTTCTGGATCAATAACTTGTGCCTTTTATGTCGCTGATAATTGATATCTATGTTTCAGTGGCTCGGCAGCCAGTGAGGGATGTTGTGCTGGGAACTCAGATGCTGTTAAAAGCAAAATATCTTCGGAGAGGGGGTGCACTGGCAACATACAGCTGTCCCAGTGAGTCCTCTCCTGACTTTCCTGAGGTCCAAATGGACCCGGGCACCTCGTATGTGTGGATTTCCCAGGAAGCTGATTGCTTCACTCCCTTAAACTCTGCTCCTGGTTTTTGATTTCCCTTTCAGCATGGCTGATGCTTGTTATTCTGCATCATCAGTGCATTCAACAGTGAAGCAAAAGTGGTGTCAGGTGGTAATGGTTAATTTCCAGCCTTTTTCATCCTTTCTTGTAATTAAAAGTATTTCTGTCATTTGCAGGGAAAGGAACATCTCTGTTTTCTACACTTACTTTCAAGGGCTACTTTTCTATCCACAATAATGGAAAGTATTTTATGACAATTTCTATTTCGGTGTTACTTTGGGAGAAGTTAAAGCTACTGCTTTTCAGAGGGTGGGGTTTTTTGTTTGTTTGTTTGTTTGTTTTATCCAAATAAGGTAGACTAAAAAACTTGTAGCATAAGAAACGGATTGTGGACTTGGCAGATGTTTCATGTCAGTATATTCACCGCAGTGTTTATTGGGACCTGGGAAGTTATTATGGATAAGCATTTTATTATTTTGTACAAAAGTGTTAACAGCCTGTTGCTGTCTTTTCTTGACTTGGTATTTATAGGAAATCTTATACATTGTCAAGTCAGTGTGTTAGCAAATACATCTTTCACATACATGCAAGTTTGTGTTTTAGTAAATAAATAGCAATATAAAGGAAAGGAACACAGTAGGAAGACTTGAAAAAGTAAGGAACTTTTGAGATGTGGACTTGTGTGACTTGGGTGTCAGAAGGATTTGAGATGAAATTCTGCCTGTGAGCTGGGTGTTCAGGCTGTTGGATCAGTTGTGGGTGCTCATGCTGAGACTGTTGTGTACTTCAGATAACATATATTTCTACAAGCCCATCAATGGCCTGTTTTGGTTCAAACACCTTGATGGGCTCGGGCATTGGCACACTTATGCCCTTGACCTCTCAGAATTCAAAATTCAGTTTCTAAGGCTTGAAGGAGGCTGATCTGCCCTCTACACAATACTGACCATGGGATTTAAGCGTTAACACAAATGGAGACCTGTATTTGGCAGGGTCGCATGCTTTTGAAGGACACCTGGGCTATGGTGTATCTGTAACCCCATCTGTTAACATTAAACTGCTGGCTTAGACAGTTGATAAACTGTGTCTCCAAAGCTGATAATGGCAGATTTCTTCTGGGAAAATGTGCCTCAAACCTCTTCTGTTTCTGGAGATTGTTTGCGTGCGCATACCAGCTTTCTTGTTTACCTACTGCACAGCTTGCAGCCACAGAGACCTCAGGCTGTGTTCTGGGCAGATTACATAAAATAAGCTTTAAAAGACCAGCTGGTGTTGGAAGAAGTGAAAGTGAGCTTTGGGACGAGATGTCTGAGGGACTGGGTGCTTTTCTTTTACAGCTTTCTGTTGTGGGAGAGGTGTGAGATACAAGCCCTGATGGGAGCCAGTTCTCAGAGACCACACGTAATTGGCTGTAGAAGCACAAGGCTAACACAACTCGGTGTTGATTGTAATTGATAAAATGGTATTTCTATCCACCTCAATTATTCTGTAGTGTCAAATGAGAAAGAAAATTTCCCACTCTTCTTAATCCATGGTTTTGGAACTTACCCTGACGACTGTGACTGTACAGAACAGCCTGTATGCCCGGGAAGGGAGAATTAAAAAGGGAAGAGAGGAGCTGAATATGAGTGCTAGCCTGAAAGTACAGTGCTGAGGAGAGAGGCTACACACGGTATACTTTTCTTCCAGAAAAATAGAAGGCATTCTTGGAAATTCCCAGTGTTCTGTATTGCAAATTCTCCTCTGTGAATGCACATTTTTAGTGTACAGCTTCGTGTAGCAGCCACTTTTTTCATCCTTAAATTTTGGTGCTCACCATGGGTAGGATATGAAAAAGGCAGAGAAGAAAGGAAAGGATCTAAGCATTCAGAAGCAGTCACACAAGGCTTTATTGAAATACTTCTGCTTATCTTGCCAGGAACAACCCAGAAAATCTTTCTGGAATCTCTAAAATCTTCCTGGACTGTACAAAGATGTTTCAGTGGGGCTTGGGGCAGTGGCAGTGAAGTACTTTCCACGCTCTATTCAGAGCAGCAAATTTAATTCTACCTGTGTTCCTCCAGTGTTCTGTCTATCAGTTCTGCATTTTTTGATTTTTTTTTTCAGTGAAGTCAGTAGACCTGTTTTAATTGACCTTAAATAGCAACATAAAAAAAAGTCTTGCTAAACCTTAGGTTGTGTTTATCTGTTATCAGAAGGTGTCATGCTGCTTTGACTTGACACATTAAAATATTCAGTGAATTGGAGTGAGAATATCTTATTTAAGGTATAGTATAGATGATAAAATATTCCTTACTCCCTCCAGCCTCCTTTTCCCTTCCTCACTTTTACATAGAATCATAGAATGGTTAAAGATCATCAAGTTCCAACCCCCCTGCCCCCTTCCACTAGACCAGGTTG